TGGAAATGAGTCACAGGGAGGGAAAAGGCAAAACCTTCAAGGACTGAAGTGGAGAAGATATACATGGAGGGGGCCGTAAATGATTGCAACAGAAAGGAGTAGTGGGTGCCATGGTCTCATGACATGAGATTCAAATCAGGAGATGGTGATCAAAGTGGCAGAGATAATGGTTTGGAAGAGACAGCAATTTGGAAGCATCTGTGAGGCACAGAGCGGCACTCCCTTGGCCCAGTGGTTCAAGGTGATATGAAAGGAAAATCACCCACCGCTTGATTGAGCTGTCAGGATAGCAGTGTCTTCAGAGAGAGAGAACCAAGTTTTCTTAAAGCAAGAAGGTGAAGGGACTGCTCAGGTGACTGAAGTAAACAGGGAAGTAGGGGCATAGTGGGATCAGTGGTCACCATGGCAGAGGATGGTGGTGCAGTTGCCAGGGTTGTAGAGTGTGGAGAAGGAGGTGAGGTTGAGATTCTTGCAATGAACAGAGTCCATTCACCTAATGTTTCAGGCAGTCTAACTCCAGAGGCCTGGAGAATTTTACCATTCTGGTCTTTTGATTCTAAAAAGGATGTTGACTTGTGAGAAGATAGTTAATGACCTGTTTTGTTTAAAGCATTTTTTGTTGCTTTTGACTTCCGATTGCATTGATGGAGGACTTTTTGTCTATAGCCTCAGGATTCCTCCAGGAGAAAAAGAACCAGGCTATGTACATTAGAGTGGAATTCCAGATGTGAGTTCTCTAGTGTGTAGAAATGAATTAACCAAGTGGAAATCTTTCTGGGGAAGTATGGCATTTCACAGATATTATTTGTAAAATGGGGAAAAGAGGGTCAGAGGAGGCTCCCTGAGAAAATTCCTGAAACTCAGCCCAGACTCAGTGCTCAGTAAGGAACTGTCTTAGCTGGGCATGATGGTGCATGTCTGTAGTCCCAGCTACTTGGGAGGTTAAGGCAGGAAGATTGCTTGAGCCTAGGAGCTCTGAGCTGTAGCATACCATGATTGTGCATGAGAATAGCCACTGTATTCCAACCTGGGCGACATAGTGAGACCCCATTTCTTTAAAAAAAAAAAAAGT